CTCGGCCCATCTGCCTTGGCCCGCGGCCAGCTGCCTTTCTTTTACCAGGCGGCTGGGCAAGCGGAAGCCAGCGTCTGTCTGCGCAGGGCCGGCTGACTGCGGCCGCGTCCAGCCTTGCGGTCTGCATGTCCACGGGTCGCCGCGGGGCCTTCAGTCAGCCTTTGGTCCAGGCCGGGGAAGAGGAGTCCTTCTAGAAGGGCAGAATCGGGGTCAGTGAGGTCTAGATCTGATGCAGAGCTAGCCAGTGCCCGTCACAGAGAGGCGGAACTCCGTACTTCCAGCTAACTTCACGGAAACCGCTTCTTATTCAAGGAGTGGAGAGCCTGCTGCAAGGACGGGTAGATCAATCTAAAGACGGGTGTACAAATTCTTAACCAGTGTCAGCGGCGCTGCATTGCACGTGGTCAGTCTCGATGGTCTTTAAAATTAGCCTGCAAACGTAGAATAAATTGAGTGTTGTGTCAGAAGTGAAAAGACTGTATTTCAGTATTGATGTGAGACAGAGAACCTTAAAGTACAGGGGTACACAAAGCCATTATTGTGACATGCTTCCAAAGTTTGATTTTATAGCAGTGTTAGTGTGTGTTACGAGCTTTAGCTTACTCAAATCTAAAATAAGAAACATAGCATTTGCTGCACTTTGTGTTAAGCAAACCTCTGTCCCTTCTATAACTGACTGCTTTGAATATTTAATAAGTGTGGGTATTAAGTGAAAAAACTTTCCAGAGCAATCACGTCTTGGTAAAGTTCTTCTGTTTTTTTTCTCCCTCTTCCTCCATTTGTTTTTGGTGAGCTTTATTGTTTTGTTAAGAGAGAGCAAACTAACACTTGTGTAACAGTCAAGCTCGAAAGGGTGAGCATTGTTCACTTAAAACAGTAATCTCCAAATGCATGTAGCCAAAACCCATTTTATTTCTCAGGGCATCAAGTTGTCTGCAGAGGTCAAACCATTTGTTCCAAAACATGCAGTGATAACAGAGGCATGGTCAGAACCCTCCGAAGCATGTGTGTTTCCTAGGTACTTAACTACACGCTGCCCATTTGTTCAGGAACCATCTTTGGATAAGTATGTATATTTTCTGAATTTTATTTCTTGACATATTTTAATTTTCCAGTTTTGGATGCTGAATACCTTTACAAAGTCAGTGCTCTGATACAATAATATTCTTAGAGTAGAAATGCTTAAGTGTTGTCTTTATGATTTAGGTTTTTGCATATGTGTTCTTTGGGCATGTGTCTGGTACCTTGTTTCTTCCTCCCATGGGCCTACACTGTTACAGAGCATTAAGGCAGATTTGTTGATCTGACTCATTTGTCCTTCGGAAGGATCTGAATCCAGTCATGGAATGGTTGTGTTGTGACAAGGCTGGAGTAGATACAGTTATAAAGGGAAGAGAAAGATCATCAAAGAAGGTTTATTGTGCTGTAAAACATTTATATAAGGTGTGGGGCTCCTTCTGTACCTCCTGTCCACAACCCCATAATCCTGAGGCAGTTTAATAGGAATGCTACAGGCTTCTATAAGTTTTTTTCTGATAAGGCTGTCTCATGGTTTTAACCTGGCAGGCAGCTAAATTCTGATTAATGTTTTGCCTTGTAGTAAGGGAGCCATAGTTGCTTTTTTTGCTCTTATTTATTTGTCTCCTTTATGATTTTAAATGGTATTCTGACTATTGTCTATCAGAATTGCAACAGACAATAAGAAAGATGTAATCTGAAAGCCTCTTGTTTTGATGGGAAAGTTTCTCCTTTTTTCATTGCCTACCCAGGATGCAGAGATAGGTCACTTCACAGTGAACAGATTTAAAAACTAAATGCTTAATTCTTAAGCTATGAAATTTCCTATCTCCCTGATCAAATTTGAATCTTGGCATGTGGTTTCTATACAAAATGTAGGAGGAAAATGAAAGGGAACTTTTAGTGTACCTTTGAAAGAAAAAGGCATGTCCCAGACGTGTTTTCATAAGTGATGGTTAAATTAAGGTCAGTTAATGAAGATATTCTAATTCTGTACGGTATATCATACATGTCTTATACCCCATAAGATATACTACATATACATATGTACATATATATACTATATACTTGTATATACACTTGTACATAGAAAGAACTCCTACTTTGTTATGGCATTTAAGACACGTATTTTTACAGTCAAGTATGTACTGCATGTCATGTAATTACACTGTACTTTTGGTGTGATTCACAAGAAAAAGCCTACTGAAAATAAGTACAAAGAATCTTTATAACCTTAAACTGAAATGAGGGCTATAACTGCCAAGCAGACTAGCTTTGAAATTTGAGAACAGATAATACTGGTATTTTAAAATATTTGCTAAACTTCATGGTTTACCAAAACAAAACGGATTCTTTTTAAGGCAGTCTATAGCATTGAATAAATACTTCATTGAAGTAATGTGGATTAGTTTTCTTTTACAATGTAGCTTTCGTGTTAAACAAATTCTTCAGCCAGGAAATATGTTTATCTAGGCAAGAAGTGTATTCTTAGCATTTGCCCCAGGATGACTTCTCATCTCTTTCTTGATGTCCATCACATAGTGTTCTGGGAGATCCTGCCTTCCGTGAATACTGCAGCTGCTCTTACTCACCTGATGTT